AACAGGCCCCAAAAAGCCACTGGCAGCCAGCCCTCCACCACTCCCCAGGAGCAGTCTGCCAGCTCCCAGGAGTCTGACAGGGGATGGAGAAGGCAGGTGCCTTCCTGGTCCAGGGCGGAGATCATGTGCCTTATTCAGGTTTGGGGGGGATGCCTCCAATGTCCATGATCTCCACACTAGACCAAACAGGATAGCTGTCTATGACAGGATAGCTGCCAACCTGGCCACCAAAGGCCACATGCAAACCAAGGACTGTGCCTGCTCCAAGTCTGCCAGCCCAGAACCAGCAGTTACTGCCCCTGACCCAGTGGTCCCAAAACATGAGCCAGCAAGCCACTAGCAGCCAGCCCTCTACCACTCCCCAGGAGCAGTTTGCCAGCTCCCGGGAGCCTGACAGGGACTGGAGAAGGTGGGCACCTTCCTGGTCCAGGGTAGAGATCATGGACCTTATTCAGGTTCGGGGGGTTGCCCCCAAAGTCCATGATCTCCACACTAGATGGAGGAACACAGCTGTCTATGACAGGATAGCTGTCTATGACAGGATAGCTGCCAACCTGGCCACCAAAGGCCACATGCAAACCAAGGAGGTTTGCATGACAATCAAGTTGGTCCGGTGAGACCCCGAGCCCTGAGCTTCCCCTCGCTCTTGCTTCCCTCTTCCAGCTCCCTCCTCCCAAGTTTCTCCCACCCCTCTCCCACTCTCTCTTCTCCCCTCTCCCACCTCCTTTCCCCAGTCTCACCAGAGTTTCATTCCCTCCCCCCAGTTTTGTTAAATGAAGAGAGTTTGTGTTCATGAAAATACGCGTGTTTTATTTGACATAGGAATGGGGGTTAGGGAGAGATAAGTGCAAGGACGTGAGGGAGGAATGAGGCACAAGCTTCCAGTAGGGCAGATCAGGGAGGTTCTTAGTGCTCTTCAGAGTGGAAGCTCTCCTGCAGGGCCTCCTGGATACTGACAGCCCCCCGATGGACCTCCCAGATGGCAGCCTGCAGAAAGTGCAGACAGGCTCTCAGCAACGCATCCCAGAGAAGCACCTGAATGCCCAGAGGCAGCTCTGGCTCCATGTTGCAGAGTGCTGTGGTGTTCCAAGTGAGGGCAATTAGAGCATGCAGAGACAAAATGCTTTGCTGTCTCTCATCGAGGTAGACAAGCAAGCAGGAAAACCTGAGAAACTATTTCAAAATAAGCTATTTCAAAATAACACTGTATTGTAGACACACCCATAAGTAGGTTGTACAAGTTACAGATGGACTCCTGGGTACCCACTAGGACAGTCCAGTATTTTCACCTCCTGTCCAGTAAACAAATTCAGAAAATACCAGATAACTAAAATGTCCGTTATTTTCTGATTTTTTTCCCCATCCAGGAGGTGAAAATAGTGGACACCTGGCAACCTTATGACACACTCGGCAACTGGGCCCAGCCCCAGGCCTCCCCTCCGGGCCCTAACACCCCCAGCCCTCCACCTCTGGACCTCCTGCTTACCTGGTTCTTCAGGAAAGATGAGTTCTGGCTTGATCAAGAAAACAAAATGGCCACCGTCAAAAAGCCTAGAGACCAAGGGGAAGCAATGCTCAGTGCTCAGTCGCTTCCTTGTTCTTATTCCTATTCTGACCCTGCACACGGTCTGAAAGAGGCCATGCTGTTTTATTATTTAATTTAAAAAAATTTTTTTGCTCAACAACTTTAGTCTCCCCCCTTTTTTTCTCAACAGAATTTTTTCCCTGGTGTGTTTTTTTTGGGGGGGGGGGGGGGGGGGTTGTGTTTGGTATTTTTGGTTAAACCATCTGGCAACCCTAATTGCAGCAGACTCTTGAGTTGCCGGCTGATGACTATCCTTGGGCTGCGGCTGGGGGGGAGGGTTCGGTATTTTTGGTTAAACCATCTGACAACCACCGTTTTTAGCTTTGTGGTTCATGTGTAAAAGGTTAACACAGAAAAAAGAGGTTTCAGACCCTGATAGAAACAGTGTTATGATCTTACGTTGTAGTTAACCCATGTAACCCCTCCTGCTTACAATCCCGGTGTGAGGCTATTCAGCATAGAGGAAGCCTTGTGACTTCTTACACAACTGTGGGAGGCTAGTCCTGAGGCTCCTTTGTGTGCTCTGCATTGTGTATTATCTGTGTGCACCTCAGACCAGACCAATTCAGACAAACCATCAGGAACAGGCTTTATTCTGTAAAAAAACATAGAACAGGATCACAGTTCAGCAGCCCCTCCTCTCTGCATGCAGCCTGTCCCTGCTGGGGGACAGAGGGCACATCCTGGCAGGAACCAGGAAGTTCTCTCAACATGCCACAGTTGTAGTCCATAACTTATAGTTCCCAGGGCTGCTGTTGAAGCACACCAGAGCTTGGACAACACATACAAGAAGTTTTTGCTGGCTTGCCATTCCGGGTCTGTAACAGGGCAGCTGCCCTGTACTGGCCCCTTAAGAGCCAAATCCCAGCCTGGAGCAGGCCCGGGGAGTTCAGCCCAGCTGGGCGGCATTGGCCAATTAAGGCCCAGCTGGGGGCTATAAAAGGGAAGGGCTGCTTCAGTCAAGGCAGTGTGAGCCTGGCTGCTGAGGGAGCAGGACGCTCTCTGGAGCTAGGGCAGGGCTAGAGAGTCAGGCTGGGCTTGGACAGCCAGCCTGCTAGGCCTGCGGACAGGCCGGCTGGAGAGACACCAAACCCCCGGAAGGGGGGCTCAGAGCGAGTGACTTGGGCACTGCTGGAGGGCAGTGTGGCGAAGAGAGCAACGTGACCAGAAGATTCCAGAGGGGAAATGCCACGTGAGCGGAGGCCTGTGCGGGTGGAATGGACTGATTCCGGGTACAGACGACGGACCCCCCGCTACGGTGGTGAGTGACCCCCTCACAGGGTCCCAGATGTTAAATTAATGGGAGACTAAATCAGCGGAAGTTTTATCATCAACTTCTGTGAGGGGGAAGCAGAGTTCTATGTTAGCTTTCAATGTGTTGTCAGACTTCTGGAAATCTGGTTCCTTTAATTAGGCACTTTGAAGTGAATTTCAGAGCTGCCCTTCCTGCACTCAAGTTTAAAAATGATGACCAGACTATGTATCACTGACAGGTGGAACTTAACCTGGCACCTCTGGAGCTTAGTGAATGAGCCTCTCCTGCTTAAGATAAAAGCCAGTTTTCTCTCAGCCAAGGCTGTAGAGCAATTTTTTTTCTCTCTCTGTAAGTGGCTTAAGTGACTCTTGATGAGACAGTGAACCACATCCAGCAGGTGTGTGGATTACAGCTAGATTACCAATAATTCACTCTATTTGATAAGTTTCCCAGCGAAAATCTTGAACACCATACCCACTGTGAACTCAATTCTCACTGTAACTTATTTAATGAAGATGCTCAGAGCTAGTCTTTCAGTAAACATTGAGGGTGAATTATACAGTTCAGAAAGTTCATTATGTGTTATGTAAGGGAGATAAGACAGAAATGTCAGGAGTTAGGGGTACTGAGTGCAGAATAGAAGGGGGCATGCTGGAGCCAACCTCCACTATACAGGCAGTCCCCGGGTTACGTACAAGATAGGGACTGTAGGTTGATTCTTAAGTTGAATCTGTATGTAAGTCGGAACTGGCGTCCAGATTTAGCCGCTGCTGAATCTGATCAGTTTCAGCAGCAGCTGAATCAGGACGCCTGGAGCAGAGCAGCCCCCCAGCTTCTCTGCCCCAGGCGTCCCCAAGTCAGCCGCTGCTGAAACTGACCAGCAGCAGCTGAATCAGGACGCCTGGAGCAGAGCAGCCCCCCAGCTTCTCTGCCCCAGGCGTCCCCAAGTCAGCCGCTGCTGAAACTGACCAGCAGCAGCTGAATCAGGATGCCTGGGGCAGAGCAGCTGGGGTGCTGCCGGGTTGGTCCAGTAGCGCCGAGGAGCGGCGCTGCGGGACCAACCCAGCAGCGCCCCAGCTGCTCTACCCCAGGCGTCGTGGGCAGAAACGCCTGGTCTGCTGGCGGAGAGGGGGCACTAGCTGCACCTCCCACCACAGCAGACCAGGGAGACGGGGAGCAGCTTTTCTCGCCCCGGAGGAGAGAAAATCCCCGTTCGTAACTGCGGATCCGACATAAGTCGGATCCACGTAACTCGGGGAGGAGACGGGGAGCAGCTTTTCTCACCCCGGAGAACGCGGGCGGCGGGACCGTGGCTCATCTGGGCGTCCCGCCGCTCCCGTCCTCCGGGGCAAGAAAAGCCCCGTTCGTAACTGCGGATCCGACGTAAGTCAAATCCGCGTAACTTGGGGACTGCCTGTATTTGATTCATAACTGTATAAACTCCAGAGCAGCAGAAGTTAAGAGTAGTGAGTCCCTCTGCTGCTCTAATTTTCACTGGGCGTCTGGAGACAAGGCAATCACGACCATTTTCAGTGCAACTTGGATGCAGTGGAGAACTGAAGCCTGAATAAATGGCTCAGAATTAATAGTTATTGCTGATAGAGGGGACAACTCCTTCTGGTCTGCTAGCTAAAATGGAACCAATGATCCTGGCACATATTCTGGGAGATGCTGAGGATTTCTGCTTGGCCTTGACAAGAGTGGCAAGTGCTCAGCACCTCCTAGGATCAGGCCATTCTAGTAGTGCGTACACTGTATCAAATTACAGCATGAAAATCCTAAAGGCCTCATTCAGATAATAGGGGTATGGGTACTCATGCTGTCCAATAATCAGCATGGATAAAAATGAGCCCTGAGTGTTTTTTGAAATCTCATACATTAACACTTGTGGTAAGAGGAGGAGATAGAAATGGTTCAGTGATCTTGAGGCAAAAATCATAATACATTTAAAAAAATGTGAGGTACCCCTTGTGCCAGCTTTAGGGATTAGAATTTGCATTCAGTGCTGCAGATATACTATGAATGACATCAGCGGCCATTCTTAATTAACATGCTTTCTGAATCAAAAAACGGAATGATTGTCTAGTTAAGAAAAGCAACAGGTGGCATATTCAACCTCTGCTCACTCCTTTGTTTGGAAGAAAGAAGCGAGTTATTTTGTAGTTGTGTCAGGTATTGAGTATAGACATGCAAACACTGGTTAAAAAAATGAAAAGGTGCAGGCTAGTCAGGCATCTCCATCTAAATGCATAATAGTTTTTCTGGGGGCTGCTAATATTATTACTAACTTTGATATTATTTGGACATTTTAACACCAGGAGAAGAGATGTTTAGTCTGTGTAACCCACAACTGTAAGAAATGAAGTGTCCCAGTTTGGGACTATGTCTCCAAAACTCTCATTTCTGCAGACTCTCAGTCATAGTCCTTGAGGTCTTAGATAAACATTTGCCAAGCAGGGGCAAGTTTCACTAAAATAGTCTATATGTTTGCTTTCTAAATCATTTAGAAACTTCTGTGTTTATAGATAAGGCTCCACACATTGTTAAATAGTATAAATTATGTAAGCAGCTTATCTGCTCCACAGTTTTGAAGTATTACCATAATTGGATACATGCTGCCTATGCTGAATGGGGTTTGGGATTCAAGAGAAGATGCGCTGGTTCTTATTAAAAAGAGCACATTTACCCACAGTTAGTACAACAGTAGCAATAGACATACCATGATTATTGAAGTCTCAGCACCTACATTTTGGAAAATGAGTCTCAACATTTTAACTTTTAAAAATTTTCCAGAGTGTGTACAAATTCTGTGAAGGATTAATGCTAGGTGTGTAATTATCCTATTTCATTACAATTCCAATTACACTGTTAATTGTGTTGATTTTTTAAATTCCTGACAGTTAGTACAAGTTATTAAGAGGGAGAGAATAACACAGAACACAGCACTAATAAGGAACAGCAGCTCTTTTCCATTTTCAGTTCCTTTCTTATAAGTATTTGGATGAAACTATCTTCCTATCATCCTTAAAATTGTTAGTATGCTCAGGCCTAGTAAATAGAATCATTAATAGAGTTTATTTCTCTGTGAGTAAGAATGTGCATTTCCATTAGCTTCAGCAGAGTGCAATGTGAATTCTGTGAAAAGAACAGACTTCTCTTATGCATCTGCTTTTACTTATTCTCAAAATAAAAATAAGGAGGTCCGTTTTGAGAAGGCTCATCACTGCAAAGGAGTTATTTCCATATTGCCAACTCCAACAGTTCAAAAAGTATTAGAGCTCAACTTCATTTGCAAGTTTGAGAAGTTAGTGCCTTTTCCATGTAGCATGGACACTCTAATTGCCTATTCTTTCCCCTTTTTTCCTCTTTCCCCCTTCTTTTTCCTTCTCCCTCACTCCTTCCCCCACTCCCCTCCCCCCACAATTTATTTAGAAACTTTTAATAACTCCATTCATCTGAAGAAGTGGGTTGTGCCCATGGAAGTTCATGATTCTCTCCCTCTAGTCACTCACTAGAAAAGCCCATTCCACCTTCCCCGGTCCTTGGTACAATTCAGCAATGACTCCTGCATCTTCTCTCCTCTGTCCCAGGGCCCAGGGAAATACTGCAAAATCAATTATGGTAATAGTCATTTGAATGTTTAAACAAATTAGCTTCAACTGTGCTCACATAGACCTCATGTTCAGCTTACTGTGATATGCTAGCAATGGAGCTAGTGGTCTGCAATGTTCAGAAACAGACTTTCAAGTGACTATTGATGAATAGCAGCAGAAAGTAAATGCTGAACTTGTAAATCTGAACATTCACATCAGAAACCCACTTCTTGGAGTGACCTTTATCCGATTAGGCAATGCAATATAACTGTCCAGTCAAATTATCTACAATAATCTAGCCAGCACAACAGAACATGCACATACTGTGAATATTAAACGTGCATTTCACTGCTTGAGAATAATCTACAGAAGGTAAATAATAATAGAAAAATTTGAGAAAAATAGGAGCTATATGTAGACAATTTGTGAACAGAAATAATTATTCACCATGAATTAGCTACTCCAATTTCTTTAACCTTCTCTCTCTCTCCCAGATGGCACTTGCCGATGGTCTCTGTTTCTCTCAGGCACACTCCAGGACACAGCAAATACTAGCCATTCCCCCTTCATCAAAAACTCCCCTTTTCCAGTTTCTCTATTCACAGCACACAGCAGTGCCCTATTGTTCACCTCCCCAATGGCAAACTCCAGCCTACCTGCTCCCCTCTGCTATAGCACAATCCAGCAGAAACCCTCCCTTCCTGTATCCATCAACCCACCTATTCCTGTCTCCATTGACACAGGTCTGTCTCTCTTTGAGTTCTGGTTACTCACTTGGGTGGGAATGCATTTGGAATCAGGATTGCATCCAGAATGGTGGTGAAGCTAATTTAATAAACAAGGGAATGAATGATGTGCACTTTGCAATCAGATGTAAAAGGAGAAAACAGGCCAAAAGTTCTCTTCCCCAATCCAGAGTGTCCCATTAGTTCAGAGATGCAGAGTCACAATTTTAAAACTACTTCACTCCATCATGCCTGACTCTTTTGTTTATCCCTATGGCTTGTTGTTAGAGTTACCAGGTAGTCATAAAAGAAATACGGGAATGAATGATGTGCACTTTGCAATCAGATGTAAAAGGAGAAAACAGGCCAAAAGTTCTCTTCCCCAATCCAGAGTGTCCCATTAGTTCAGAGATGCAGAGTCACAATTTTAAAACTACTTCACTCCATCATGCCTGACTCTTTTGTTTATCCCTATGGCTTGTTGTTAGAGTTACCAGGTAGTCATAAAAGAAATACTGGACAC